CTGTAAAGGAGCTGCCCTCTCCGCCCACCCTGAACATTTTGAGCCGTGACGTGTTTACTGAAGAGAAGATGTGAGTTTTCACACAGGTGCTTCATCTGCTGGTCACTGCGGCTATTTGTGGACAAACTGCGCCTCCAGAGCACCCCCCCCCATCCTCTTCCTCCTCCTCTTCCTCCTCCTCTTCCTCCTCCTTCAACATCCTCCTCCTGTCCTCCTCCCAGAGTGCAGTCAGTCTCTGACAGAGAGGAGAAGCAGGTGTTTGCTTGACTTTCTCACTTCCAACACGGAGTTGTTTGGAAGTTTTCAGAGCGTTATTTTTTTTCTTTAAAAAGACAAAGAGTCAGATCAGATTAGATTAGATTAGATTACAATCCAGGAAAAAACGAATATGCTTCATGTCCGGTCTTTGCTCTTTGGATGCTTGCTTTGTCTTGTTGTGACCTCTGTGTTGGCAGATGGTAAGTGAACTTTTTATGACATTCATCACTGATGAAAATGTGAAAAAAAAAAAACTTTCTAGCTTTTTCTAAAATATTAAAGTAACACAAACATTTAGTCGGAGTGCTCAGATGTGAGCGAGTTTGACACAAGTCTGGTTTGTGTGTTTTATGTCTGTTGTGTTGCAGTAAGAATAATTTAAAATATCAGAAAAAAACAACCAAACTAAAAATAAAGAAGAGCATTTTTGCTCTCAGTTATATTTACTTAAATAAAAAAAAAATCAGTTTTTCTCCAGTTTAAGCTAAATATTCTAAATATATGTGAATATGTATACCGATTTGATGTTTCTGAACACAAATTATATAAAGTAAAGGTGGAAATGAAAAGACAGGATGAAATCTTTGAGCCATGATGAGTATAAATCTCACATATCTTGAGTTTTAATTTGAAAAAAGTTCTTATGATTTGTGCTAATTTTAAAACCAACATTATGTGAAATTCTGTCGCTGTTTTTGAAAACTATTATTCAAAGAAAAGCTGTGAATTTAATTTAAAACATATTTTGATTGATGATTTATTTATTGAATTTATATGGTTCTGATTGCAAATGTGTTAGTCATATTTATGGATGAAAGTGTGTTTTTCTTATTTAATTTTTTTGAGCTAGAACAAAAATTAGCACTGCTTAAATGAAAATATTTGTGAAAAGATCCTAAAGACCTTCAGGATGTAGGGGAGGGAGTGTGATTTGCACGTGAGTTCAGCTTGTACGGAGAAACTTGGTCCAGTTTGGAACTTTTAGGTCTGAATTCAAAAAGTGTCTCAATTGAGAAGGAAAAGTCTTCAACAATATTAATTTAAAAAAAAGGCTCAGCTGCATGAAACTTGCGTTAAAATATTCAGACTTGCTGAGATATTTTTTGTGAACAAAAGCCTCAGAAACAAACATAATTAAATGAAAAAAAATTGCAGAGTTTATAAAAAGCTGACCTTTTTGCCGTTTCTCCTCAGGTCGAGTGTTTGTTTTGGGTCCGACGAGCCTCTCGGGTGTTCTGGCCTTCAGAGATGCTCTGCAGGCCTGCGCCTCCCAACGAGCCCGCCTGGCATCAGTGGAGGAGCTCCGTCACGCCGTGGCCGAGTGCTTCTTCTCTCAGTGCGCCCGTGGGTGGCTCCACGGAGGCACCGTGGGGTGAGAAAACAGGCGTTTGCTTTTAAACAGCGAGCAGAAACTTGAGACCCCTGAAGGTGTCAAAAGGTCACTTTTGGTGCTTCAAAGTGCGCGAAGGAGGGATGAAAGAGGAGGGATGTAAAAAGCTGGCGGCAGCGAAGGAGGAAGAGCGGGAAGATACAGGRCTGACACGTTTCAGGAGGGGTGGGGAGGGAAAGCGSAGGGGTAGAGACGGAGAAAGGCTTYTTTGTTTCCAGCCGGAGGACGAGGGAATTCAGAGCTGGGGTGTCATGTCGACAGCCGCCTCCGTTTACGCTYAACGCTGCTTTCATCACCCAGAAACACAAACACACACATTTACCTAAATCAGGTGCACATACGGATAAATAACAGCGTGTTATCGGTACTTTTGGGGGTTAATTAAAGACATCAAAATTGTTTGGAGCTTTTGGTCTGTGTGACTCAAAAATACAGCAACATGTCGAAACTTTGGCCAAGAGAGAGCTAAAGAAAAGTCTTAATTGGAATATTTTATTCTTATATGTATGATTTAATTTGGGTTACATAATAATTTAGAGCTCAAACATTACCAACTACGAGGCTAGCAGTAAATTAAGAGGTTAATTAATCAGTGATTAAAAGACTGGAAACAGGTGAGCAAACCAGAAGTACTTTTATATTGTGAAGGTGTTATCAGCAGTCAATATCTTACCTGTTGGAGGCAGTGATCAGTCTTTCCTATTTGACAAAAAGTTTTTACCAAATAAACGAGCTAACTGCTCATCTGACCTCCATCTCCAATCTCTTAATTTCATCGTGACTTGTTATTTTKTCTTTACTTTGACGCTACAATAAATTTAGCAATATTTACCTAGAAGTTATCTATACTGAAGACGTTGACAAGAATGCTGTAAAACAAAACATGTTAAGCAAAGGCCTAATRCTGAAAATGTATCTGATGAAAAAAAAGAAAAGAAGACACAATTTGTTGAATCACTGTGATTTTTAAAAAWTTTTTAGTTTGACAAAGTATTAGCTTGACTCTTCTACAAATTTATATACTGTGACCAATAACTACAGCAGGTAAGATACTGACTCCTGACAACTTCACCATTGTCTCAACTTTTGAAATTAGACTTGTGGGGATTAGCT